AGCCAACTAGACGGATGGGAAAACTTTGGTGTGTCCAGTCAGAAACTCTACTCAATTGGTGCCCATTTGACTGTTCCCTACATCCTGTGGATTCGTTCGCTTACCTTGATTGTATACTCCCAGCACGTATCTCTTTGTGATTCCATCGCCATAGAGCTGGCTCTCTAACCGCTGCGTGCCGCGACAAGCCAATATGACACCGGTCTCAAATCCAAACCGCGTGTTCCGCGTATGTCATCTTTATTCCGTCAAACAACTGTTCGCATGCCATGTTCATTATTGGTTTATCTGCTATTTCACGTTATTCAGCCTCATCAGGGCGTCTTCTGCGCACCAGTTGCAAAGACGTGATTAAAAAGCACGTATGGTTTCGAGAGATTACGTAACCATTGTGTAGCCTGCTTGTAAATCTCGATGCCATCCAGCTCCGGTGGAACCATCCACTCGGCTGTTCCAATCAAAATTTTCAGATGCACCTGTATTAAGCTTCGTCTATCGCTAGCGACAACAATACGTACACAACCTATCCAGTGTGCCATTAGACACACTACACATTCAAGCACTTTCACTAGGGCTTACGTTTTGCCATCCCCGGAGAAACATGAACGTCTAGAAATGGAAACCCAGTTCGAAGATCTCTGTAGTCAAACGAAGGACTTAGTAGCTACCTCAGATACAGATCACGAAGGGTTTAAGTCAAAGCTGGTCAACATCTCTTTCCAGTAGCAAAGATTTCCAATAATACACTTCAGATTGCTGACAAAGGTACACATGGAAGCCGTGAGGGAACTTGAACGGAATGAGGATATTATCATCACCAGACCAGACAAAGTGTCTGGAACCGTGATTATGGATCGCAAAGCAAATCTGCAAAAGATGAAACTGAGTCTCGCGGACACCCCCAGATTTATAAAGTGTGAGCAAGAGAAGGACAAAATAGCATACAAGGAAACGCAACTGACCAAATTCTTGAAGTCAATGGTGATTGACGGCTATATGACCAAAGAAAAGTATGAAAAGCTCAGACCCATTGGGTCCATTATTCCAAGACTATATGGCCTCCCAAAAATACACAAACCGAACACACCTTTGAGTTCAATACTAGATATGAGAAACTCGCCATGTCACGGCATCGCAAAATGGCTAGCATCGATACTGGATTCTGTTAGGACAAAATATTCCCTCAACATCTGAGCGACACGCTCCAGTTTGTCGAAAGTGTCAAAAACATAAACATACTGTACTATCGCATGCTCTCCCTAGACGTCGTAGCGCTGTTTACCAACGTTCCGCTCTTAACAACCGTAGATTTTCTTTGCTCTTTCATTGACTGATAAAAGATAAGCATGGACATCCCAATTGGTTAGCTCAGGCAGCTTTGCTCAGATGCACATACAACGTCCAGTTATATATTTTAACAATGAAGTATAAAGGCAGATAGATGGAGTAGCAATGGGATCGCCTCTCGGGCCACTATTGGCAGATGTCTACATGGAGATGCTGGAAAATGAACCGCTGAAACCGGTCATTTCAACCTTCAAGTTCTATCGACGTTACGTAGACGACATTTTCTGCATAGTGGATCGGACGACCAACTTGCAAAACGTCGTCGAACGTTTCAACAGTGCACATCCCAATGCCTCACTTACAGCTCAAGAAGAAAGCAAGAACCGTCTGTACTTTTTGGATGTAAATCTAAAGTGGAGAGCCGACGGATCAATCCAGTTAGGACAGTACAGAAAGCCATATTGAACGGGGCAGTATATACATTTCCAGAGCTTTGTGCCCCTCAGCCGCAAAAGAACACTGATCCATACGTTGACTGACCGTGCGCACAAGATCTGTAGCGAAGAGACGATTGCAAATGAACTGGAACGAATCAAGTGCACACTACTTGAGAATGGTTATCCAGAACGCTTTATTGATACGCATATGAGGCATAAAGACCCGAAGCCAACAGTGCAAACGTCTTAGAAAAATACAGTCGTTCCTTAAGATCACCTTTAAGGGTGACAAAGCGGCTGTGATCTGTACAAGAAGCTTGATGCAAGCCTGCAGGAATACTTTCAAGGCAGCTGAAGACAATGTGATCTATACGAGCGAATCCTTGGTTGTTCCTAGATTTAAAGACAAAGTGTCTGATCGCCTCCAATCAAATGTAATATACGGATTCACCTGCTCCTGTGGAGCTAGGCATATTGGAAGTACGACCAGGCGCTTAGAAAATCGAATCAAGGAACACCTATCGAATTCGCTCACAACTGCAGAGACAGATCTAATGTAAGTACAATTACTAACCATCTGATTGCCACTGGACACAATATTGATAAAAGTAGTGCCTTCGAAATCCTGTGTAAGGTACCATCACATTTAACCCATCAGTTAGCAGTACGACTGCTTACTACTGCTGAAGCAGTAAGCATGAGACTGATGAAGCCTAATCTCTGCATCCAAAAGAAGCTCATTCAAGAATTGCAACTTCCATGGCCATCAATTACACGAGAGGAATTTGCTGCCGCCCATCAATCCCCCGTGCCGTCAATCACTTGATCATCCGACGCTTTTCACGAAACTGTTTACGTTTAAAATATCTAATCAATGGTGTGTCATTATGGTTGGCGGCATCCGGTTTCCGATTTGCCTGTCACTGTGGCCAGTCAAAGGACGCCCGCGCATACAGAGGGACCATGGATAGGTTGCGCTGCGCCACCCACAGCTCCATCCACACACCCCATATCCAGTGTAAACCCGAAGCAATATGACCGGGGGGCATACGGATGGGAGCCACGTTTCATCAACGGAGCCGTCCCACACTCCTTCACAGGCACACATAAGCTCGCTGTATCTGGGACTCAATTGCACACGAGGCGGTGGCTGGACCGTAGTCCGCTCCACAGTGAGTGCGTGGAACCACCCTTCGAGCCTAGCACGGCCACAATAACTGTGCACCCCCGTCCCCTGTAGCAACGACCAACTGTCTCCCAGAGCCAGTATGGACGAGGTAGTGGGTAATAGACAGGTAGGCACCTTGTCAACATGCACATCAAGCGCAGCCACACCGGGGATATCAAACGACAGCCAATCATTCGAAATGCGGATATCGAATAAAGTAAACGCATATGACGACATAAATACTCGCTAAATGAGCATATGGAAGAAAGTGGTTATAAGCGAATCCGCAATAAGTAGAAAATGTCTGAAAGTTATTTAAAAATTACCACTGGATAAAGTTACGCAAAGTTACCACAATTTGCATGAGCGGTGTGTGTAAGTTAAGGGAAGATTATAAAATACGCAGAACAAACCAAATAAAATGAAATGAATTTTATCCACATTAAAAAGATCTAGTTTAAGTGTAAGTTGGTTTAGCCCAACTACGGTGAAGAAGCATCATGAACAACATCAGCCTCAGCATGGAGCAATATACTGTCCCACAAACTGCTTGTTCATAAGTATATTTCTGCACTATAGACCTGATGAGGAAGTAATCGAAAAAATTGTTCGCCGTTAAGCGTTTTGCTTACCTTTCTTCTAGGGTTTGAAAACAATAAGTCCTAAAGCCCCAAACTAGCACCACATTATATCTGCTCCGATGGCGTTGGAATAGCTTTTAACATTCCACCGGGTTTCAACCAATCAATCAACTGTTGATTTTAGTCTATCTCTGGGGTTTTCGTCACTTTGGCTGAACTGTTGCTACGTAACGAGGGGCAGTTCAGTAGCGCATGATGGAAAGAAAAGCAGCAGCTTTACAAGACCCATAGGATGGGAAATGCAAATAACTAACAACATGTTACGGCAAAAAATGTGAGTTATCAATAGTCCATACACGGCACTTTGTCATACCGTTGTATAGAACGTATCAATTCGATGAGTGTTCAATGGTTTTTCAAAGGTCACTATGTTTGGTGGACTCATCACATGTGTTGGGAATGCACTCCAGTTTGAATCACATCTACGATATTAAAGTAATTTTCTACGGTTAAGTGGTGGTGTTGGACCTCGGTATCAGTTAGAGGGAACAAGGGTCAACAATGGTTTACATGAGTCGGTACTCTCTGTCAGTACCAAGTATGTGAGAACGAGATCCCGTGAATTCGTCGATATACTGAAGAGAACTCCGATTCTGTTTCCAGCGAATGTGTACGCAAAATCTAGTGAGATTTGTACACCGTTTCGAGGATCTACAATCGCTACATCGTGATGTTGGATTGGAGTCGCCTGAATAACTCAGTACGCCATTGGAGGGGTCCTTATGAAATATAAGTTGTGTGAACGGATTGCGACATATAGTCTCGATCTGGATTGGGAGATTGTATGCAGCAATGCGTTCCCATGACCCATGCGCTAACTCCTTAACCGTCGCACCGTGCATTAGCCGCCGCGAGTTGCTGGCTTAGAGTTAGGGGCTTTGGTTGTCATCTCAAGGTCCTGGCGTTCGAGTTGCAGACATGCTGTCTCTAACTAGTGGGTCATGGAGGGAATCGCTACGAACCAGAAACACTAAATATGCCTCAGACTCAGTAAAATTTTACAACTTTACTTTCAAAGAAGAATCATAGCAAAGGATACACTTGTCTCTACGGCGTGTAATTGATGACATCCTCTAGACACTACAAACCAGGCATGTGCTCGTGTCTGGTTTGCAAATGAACCACGGTTTCGCTGGCACATAGTTTGCTCAACCCATCTAAGAACAGTCTGACACGAGTGATCAACTGGGTCTGCGATCATCAGACCGTCTACCGATTGCAATAACTTGTGAACAATAAAGCAGCTCTCTTCTAGACCCCATTAATTGCCAGAGGAACAACAAAATTCACCTAACCCCGAGGTCCCAAGTTGAGGTAGGCTCTGTAACGTGAACTGCTATGAAAGCAGGCACACCGTTGAGCGCTGGAGCAACTACCTTGAGCAGATCGACAATGAACTTTCATAGAAATAAGCATAATGTGTTGTATTGCTTGCGATGCAATCACCAGTTGTTCAGCGTGACTTACCTTTTGGGTGCCCTTTAGGTGCATATCCCACAGAAATGTAGGGTCCATACAGTAAGCCAATGATCACCGGGAGCAGCCACATCATGGCGGTTGCCATGCTGCAACCGGCCTCTCTCACATTCGGTCTCAACGTAGTGGAGACCCTTGTCCACGCGCCTTATCCTACTCGTTCATCCTGCCATATGAACGAACCTGTCCCGGCCAATCATTGGTCGGCTGTCAAAGCCTGTTTTACCCTGGCTTAAAAACAGACGAGAGAAATTGGGTTGTACGAGACATCGATCTTCACGTTTACTCTGCCTTGATTGGTTGGGTCGAGTGTGGTCAATACACCAACGCATCCGCGGCTGCCCGCATACTGCCACATTGCGCGGCGATCACGGGCTGTTAATTTTCTATTCCGTAATTTATGTGAACACAGACATATCCCCTCGATCACTCGAAATGGGGCTGTGTCACCTAGCAACTATTCAATGCTGTCTTATTATCGAATTCCCGATTCTGTGAATACTGGGCGTGATTCCAGTACTGATCTCATCGATTACAGTTTGTCCTTTTAGCTTAACACCATCGTCTCGTCCATTTCTATGACCTTGATAATCATAAGCGACTAAAACTATGAAAACTCATGCGTTAGAGATTGTAGAGCCCTGTTTTATACATCGAACGTAGTCCATGCTACATCTATGTGGGTAATACTAGGTTACATTGCTACCTGTCCAAGAACAATTAATCACCTGACTTAATTGCAGCCTGTGACATCTCTCGTGTTTCCGCGTATCTCCTTGTGTAAAAACGCAATGTCGTACTTAAACGTTCAGATTAGCCGAAGATCTGACAGGTCTATCCAGCGCAGTGTCCATAGAAAGACAATGTGGAACGGGTAATATACTCATTTTGCCAGCTTCGTTGCGCCCAGACAGAAACGGAAACTTGTTCGGTGCTCAGCCAAGCGAGTAAGAAGGATATGTAGCGAGGACATGCTTTCGGACGAGCTAAAGTTTGTACGAAGCCTATTTGATAGAAATGGCTATCCGGAGAGGTTCGTTCAGAGAAACATGGAGGTACAAGAAGCGAAGACAAAAGTGGATTTAGTAGAAAAGAAACCCATCTACTTATCGTTACCGTTCAAGGGGGACGGGACAGCTGAATCAACGTCTAGAAAGCTTTCTGACGCCATCGATCAAACGTACTATGCAGCAAGCCTACGGCTAAGCTTCTACTCAGTGCCGACCCTGACTCAACAACTTAAGGGCAGAATTCCAAGGTCAAGTACTTCTTTTTGTGTATACTCTTTCTCTTGCTCGTGTCGATCAAGTTATATCGGAAGAACTACCGGGAGACTTTCCGAGAGAGCCAGGGAACACTGTCCAGCTTGGCTGTATAGCGGCGTGACTAGATCAGTGGCGAGCCACCAGGTCAGAGCGCATGAGGCGTTCCAGCCCATCTACCGTGTAGCCAGATGCCACACAAGAGCGGTTAGTTGTCGTCTACTGGCAGCGGCCGAGGCAGTAGCCATCAGGCTTCATGACCCTTACCTATGTGCGTACAAGAACTTTGTCCAGGCACTAATTCTATCCCGGTCCCCTGTAACCAGGACATGCTGTAGACAACGCCACGCACAAACAAACACACTGTTGATCGCCGGGGGGCCAATCACCTAGCTTGGTCACTCAGACCATCTGGGTTTTAAACCTTTACCCTTATCAGAAGTTTACGTTCATGTCATTCATTTGTGGTGTATTAGCCGGATGAGGAACCACTGAAAAAGAGGTTGTTCGCTAACATTTGTTCTGATTAACGGTTTCTCAGGGTTACGCACACTGGACGTAACGCCCTCCAGTGGTGATAGTCAATTACCTACTCGGTCTGACGACATGGATGTTGTGTCGATTTTGGTGAAGTTCAAGCAGGTGCCCCTTACATGAGGCGTGGTCTTCGCATTGTACAAATGGTGGCATGATAGAACGTCAGGTTCCATGTGTTTGGTGTACCAAATCGACGACGTAATCACCAACCGAGTTCCATCGACTGACTTGTATTGATTGGAGATGCAATATTGAAGGTACGATACGCTCCACACTAATGGGCTGGAATTACATAACGATTTATTTGCTGTAGCATTCGCTTGACGCTGTTTCCATGTGATAACCAATTTTGACCAAATAACCGAACATCAACCGAACAACGTCCGTCAGAAGTAACCTGGACTCGTCGTTACTGATGAGCGACAATGCCGTACCTCAGTACGCTCGTATTTCAACGCCCTCAGTTCGAATTCAGATTGAACAGTTGCCGAACCTGTTCAACCTGGAAATTGTGGCACACCCACGAGCATAATTTTGATCCTACAAACGACAGCAAGGAGATCACAATCTTGAAAAATCCTGTTTGGAAGATCCACTTCCGAGAGGTGGGAATACCAAATGTGTCTACAAACTTAGTTGTAAAGGCTAATTGGAGGGTCAATTTTGGAGTACACATTGTGTGCTTGGATTGCGACGCGCAAGCTCAAAGTGGACCGCGGCTCACATTGAAGTGAACCTTAGTCACTGCGATCACTGGGACCGTAGTCAAAGCAGATGGAAATTAGGTGCTGCCCACCCGAAAACACTGCACAACCACGACGCGTTTCGATGTACTTTCATCTCATCAGGTGGAGACAACAGGCCTCGAACCCGCGACCATTGGAATAGTAGCCGAAATCGATACCTCTTTGGCTACCGGGTCCCGGCGTGCAACGCTTGGCACAACGGTAAATGACTATTTGTAAACACTGTGCACAAGGATAGTAGAACACAAGCAACATGTTTCGCATGTACCCAGACACGAGCCTGAATGTAACTCCTACTAAAAGATTCGGCGGTAGCGGTGTACGCGCTAAACTCAGGACAAGAAATCAGCTGGTGGGCACGAAGAACCCGAATAATTGTTGAGGCGGTTCAAATCAACAGGGTCAATAACCGCAAACTTTCTACCACTTCATTCAATGGCATCTTCAGTGTATGGCTGCGTAGAGGAAAATCGCGCGGAAAGTGTCGACGGGACGTAGCGTTTGAAATTGGCCTCGTTGGAGAAGCAATCAAAACCTTAACTACCAACCCGAGCTACATGTATTCCGAATCATTGCATATGAGTGACTTGTAAAGCGAATCAGTAGGTATGCTACATGTGTGTTATACCACTACAGTGTCTTCATGATCCATTTAATTGTTATTGCAATTGTCCACTGACTTAGATTATTTCCCATAAGTAGTATGCTAATTTGTCATAAAAGCCAGGCCAAGTAATATACTAGTTCAACTGGTCTGAAGAAGCTCGTATGCCAAGAATGAAACGTAGCCCCAATACAACTCTGTACAAAACCGATTTGTATTCTAAAACCGTAGGAAATTACGAATTCTTTACCAACTCCAAGCTTATTACGAGATATTGAAAGGCATTTCTCATAATAAGTAGAAAGCTTAGAATTCCCATATAACATCCTAAGTCAAGACCAAAAGCGGCCTACGGTACTCTTCAAGCAATATGAGAGTACAAAACTGTCAGAAACCTATGCACCCTGAGAAAACGAGACAAAAGACTACAATATGAACATAGGCTGGCCATAGAATCCCAAAACTGTCCCAAGAAACTTTTTGCCTACTTGAAGCGAAATGCCAAAACTGGTAGTGGAATCCCCGCTCTATCCTCCTTTAAGGAAGGTACCGTCCGCTACTGTGATGATGAAAAAGCAAATCTATTGGCTGCGCAATATTCCTCGGTCTACTCAGTGGAGTCACCATTGCTCAACAACTGTTTGCCTGCATACCACTCCTCTATGGACGAAGTTGAAAGTAACCCCGAAGTAGTCACTAAGCTACTTCTCGAACAGGACCCGAACTCCTCCCCAGGCCCGGACGGATTGCATCCCAGCTTCCTCAGAACGATAGCTGAGTACGTCGCCGTCCCTCTCTGCCAATTGTTTCTGCAATCCCTCGAAGTCGGCTGCCGACCCACAGGCTGGAAAGCAGGCACCGTCCTGCCCAAATACAAGGGGGGAAACAAACAAGACCCAGCCAACTACCGGCCAATATGTCTGACATCAGTCGTATGCAAAACCATGGAACGAATAGTCAAGTGCGCTCTCCAGCTACACTGTGTGCATCTTAACCTCATCTCACCTGCTCAACATGGCTTCCGGAGAGCACGCTCATGCATCACTACCTTACTCATCGCCAGGGAAAAATGGGCAGAAGCCATAGATACCCGAAAACAGGTTGATGTAATATTCATTGACTTTAGCAAAGCCTTTGATAAGGTTCCACACGTACGACTGCTACATAAACTCCAGGGAATTGACATTACGGGAAGTCTTCTCTCTTGGATTTCCGATTTCTTAAGGGGTAGGACAATGCGCGTACAAGTGAACCAAACCCTCTCTGCTCCAGTGCCCATGACTAGTGGCATTCCCCAAGGATCAGTGCTTAGACCAGAGCTCTTCAAACTATACATTAACGACCTACCGACTGCGCTACAAACCGACTGCTTGATCTATGCCGATGACCTCAAGCTTTGGTCAACAGTATCCAGCAATGAGGATGCGGACAGATTACAAGGGGCTCTAGACCAGCTACACGAATGGTCCATCAAGTGGGAACTGCCAGTAAACCGAGATAAATGCGCTGTTCTCCCAATAGGTGGCACCGAACCCTACGGTGCATGCCACATTAGTGGGTTTCTACTTAGGAATACCACCCACGAGAGAAATCTCGGGGTTATCGTGACTTCTGACCTTAGAACGACGCAGGACACGTTAAAGAAGGTGGCCACTGGAAGGAGACTGGTAGGTGCCTTAAGAAGATCATTCACTCGAATGACTCCCGAGATTTTTCGACCGTTGTTCACTTCGTACGTCCGTCCAGTCTTAGAATATGGCCTACCAGCTAGCCATCCGCTTTCAAAGTTTGAAAGCGCTCTGCTGGAAAAGGTTCAGAGACGTGCATCAAAAGCTGTTCTGGGGCTACGTGATCTCCCGTACCCCATTCGACTCCAGAAGCTAAATCTGTTCTCCCTCGAGCTCCGCCATCGCCGGGGTGACCTCATCTACACTAGACG